CCTTGGAACTTTCAAAATGATGTGAGTACTTTGTCGGGAAGAGTGCACTCGACGAGCTGACCACCAATCTGTATACTCACGAGTCATTAGAGGCCCCTCTTCTGATGGACGGGTAGGGACAATAGCCTTTGACGAACCTCCAAGACGAACACAGGAGTCCCAAAATTGTACTAGCATTTTCAGTGAGCCGTCATAAGGTCGCTCTATGAGGTTGCCAGGAACATCTTGACAAAAGCCGAATTGACGACTAAACCTATGGGGGCTATAAGATTCCATAATATGAATGTCATCATGCCTAAGGGTGATGAAGCTTGAGTGAAGAATTATAAAAAAGTCACTCCAAGAATTCGATTTCTCGTCACGATCGGTAAGATGCGATTTCCTCCCTTATAGCATAGCCAAATAGTGAAGTTGTCGTGCACTAACTTGTTGAAACAACTCACGGGCATTACTATGGTCAAAATGCTTGGCCATCTTCTCACCACAAACCTTGCATATTTGCGGACCTCGTTGTGGACGCTTAATACGATAGTAGGTATCGAAATATGCTCCAATCCATCCATATACATTATGAATAGGAAAGAGTGCTTTATAGGTACCCAAATCTTGAGAAGTGGAGACCTCCTTCAAGCCATGGTAGATACTTGCAAGGATTGGAACCGCCAATTAAAACTTCTCTCCATGAGCCATCAAACTCGCGATTTTGAAGACACTAGCACAACTGTAGTCGATCTTCCTGTTGGGGAATACAAATTTGCAAAGCCAACATGCAAGGAAAGCCGCCAAATAAGTCACAGCTCTAAGTGACTCCTCCACTCCAAGCTCCATAAAGGGGGCATTCTCCTCGTCGGTTCGTGGTACGAAGCTCGCATCAATATTTCCATAAGGATTATGGTTCAACTTTGGCCTAGTAGTCCGGTTCCTTGATGACTTTTGCGGAGGTTTAACATACCTACTCGGACCTCGAAACCAAAACTCCACCCAATCACGAATGGAGACCTCGTGGACATCATCCTTCATGAGTTTGTAGAACGCTGAGAACAGGTGTAGGCAACTTCTTGGGAGGAAAGGTTTTCCTTGATCGTCCGCTTGTGTGAACTCCTTACTAAGGGGGGTAACTTCGTCGTAGAAGGATCCATGCACCGGAAGGACTCCGATTGCTCGCAAGTCCCACAAAGAGATAGAGAGTTCACCAATAGAGGTAGAAATTTTATTTGTAGATGGACACCAAAGCTCACAAAAGGCACGAAGGACATTCTCATTGTAGTCATAAGTGAACAACGAAGCAAAGATGGCGTCATAAAACATTGATGCCATTCAGAGTCAACTTGTTGCGGGCAAGAACATCTTCTACCCGCTCCCAATATTTGGATGTATAGCGAACTTTACCAAAGCCGGAGGAAGGAACACTCCAAGTGGCAAGACGCCCATCGTGATCATGATGAAGAAGACGAGCAGACGCGACCTTCTGAGAGGCGGAGGACTTCAAATGTAGGACCTTCATGTTGGTTGCTTTGCCCAAAAATCCATCTGATGCATCCTTCATCTCTCAAGTCGACCATTCTGCAAGATCAAGGGAGGCGTCAAGCGGTTTCCTAGCGAGCGCGAAAACACCTATCACCGGAGGATGAACTTTTAAAGCGACAACTTGGGCGTGCGGATTCTGCTTGTTGCTTATAATCTCAAGGTGTGGATATGGTGTATCGTGGTCGATAAAATGCATCCTTGCTGATGGAATTCACAGTCCGATGTGCTGCTCTGAGAGTCTGCAAAAAGAAAAAGGAAGAATCTATGAAAACCAGCAAGACTGAAAGGGGCAGCATGTTGCCTAAATTCGAGAAAATATCTGGGAAAATATCAGCATATTCTGATTATGATTTTTACCTATGTCGTAGCTCCGGAAGTTTAGTTTCTGTAGCAAAGCCGCTCGTGATTTCGATGCTCCTACACCAAGATATGATTTTTTTGGTTAAGACGCACAAAGCTGAAATATTGAGCGTGACAGAACTTGAACCAAGTTTAGGAAGCTCGCCTAGGATGATACAATGCGAATTTAAATCAAAATTTTTGATATATTGCAGTACTCCGAGCCTAGTTTCTGTAGCCGCAAACCGCTCATAATTTCAGCATTCCTACACAAAGATATGATTTTTTGGGTTAAGACGCACAAAGTCGAAGTGTCGAGCGCGACAGAACTTGAACCAAGTTTAGGAAGATCACCTGGAACGATGCAATACTAATTTAAATCCATATTTTTGATATGTTGCAACACTTTGAGTCTAGTTTCAAAAGAGTCAAAGGTCTCGTATTCTCGATACCCTTGCGATGAGATATGAATGCTTTTTTGTAGAATGCGCAAAGCTCAGGATTCCTGGCAACTTCTGCGACAAAGAGAAAAAAAAGGGGTCAATCGTAGTCAAGTCCAAAAAGGTGCAATTATCGTATGTTCATCACAGAAAGTACTTGAGTTCTGAGTCCAACAACATGCAAGATATTCAAGTATGAGTTCGAAGCATTGCCCAAAATTAGCGACAAATAAAGAACGATGGAAAAAGAACTTACCAGTGAGACCTTCAAAGGAAGCTAGTGAAGAGTAAGGAATTTCAAGAATAGGTGGTGAGCATGACTGCATGGTATGCTCCTTATATAGAATATTGAGTCGGCTCTCTGGCTTGGTGAACAAAATTTTCCTTTAAAAGAAAAGCCAATTTCTAATTGACTTGGAAGTCTTTTATGGTAAAAGGAAAGAAAAAAGAAATTTGAAAGGCCTCCCCTTTGGAAGCTTGTACGAATCTCTTTGACTTGGCAAGTTATTCTACATGGAATAAATTAATTCCATAAAAGAAGCAAAAGAGGGTCTCATGTAAAATTTGTAACGACCAAAAGGCTTAGGGAAAGCTCCAATTCCTGTTTTCCAACAGGCAAGGATACTTAGAAATCTCCAACTCCTCTTCAAAATAGGAATAAGCTTCATTGTAAGAACATTTGGGAAAATTATGGAAAGTTTTTAGCATTAATCCAAAAGAAGCAATTTATGTTTTCTCTGAGCTCATTTGTAATTAAAGCTATTATCTACATATAATGAGCTTATACTTAATCATCAAATTGGTTTGTTGCCCGAAGACAATCAGTTTGCCAAAAAAAAAAGAGGTTCTAAATAAGGAACATTTGGTACATTGATGGGTAACTAAGATACACCATTCGAGGAGTAATTCTTCTACTGGGTTCTTGCATGCCGTGAGAAAGTCATTAACTTATCTTCGAAATTAAAAAAAAAAAAAAACAAGGCAAAGCTACATCGTCCATTCTATTTGGATTAGGACTTTCTTCATTATGCCAAGTCACACTTAACAATGTCCGTTGGCTCAACAACGGTTACTTCAAATCACGTCTTCAAGTTACGATAAGCCTACACCTCGACAAGCTTTGAAGCACGGGCATTTTTTAGACAATTAAAATTTTATTAAGTTTAAATCCACAAGTAATTTGGATTTTATCATATATTAAATACATATTAGTCCAATGATACTATGGGCTAGTATAATCGGGTCGATTATTTAAATTTAAAATAAATTGATTTAAATAAAAGTCCAATGTATTATTGGGCTAGCCCGTCAATTGGTCTTCTATCAAATGGATCTGCCCATAAGCCTCAAGCCCAATGACCCACTAGGATTTTCTTGGAGACTACTCTACCCCACACCTATATAAAGGGGTCAAAGGAGAAGGCTAAGACACAAGCAAGTAAGCAGAAGGAAAGGTTAAAGAAGCTCTGAAGAATAACATCAAGGTCTCTCTATCCATATCTGCAATCGGCGTCCGTGGTCAAATTCTAAAGGCGAACTCAAATCATAGACATGTGGCTTCAAATCTTCCGTTCGTGATAACCCAACACCAAATCCCGATTCGTGACGACCTTCAAATTGTTCGTGACGTACTACAAATCTTAAATCCGTCAAGTTCAAGATCAAGCACTCAAGCTGTTGAACCATCATCCGTGAGGAGAAGAATCAGAGGACTATATCTCTTTAGATTTAGGGATATTTTAGAGATTGTAACCCCATCACTTGAATTGAATATATTATTTGTCGCTATATTTCTTGTCTTGATTATTATTTTTCAGGAGCAAAATTTAGTTGTTACAGTCAATAATGCTGCAAAATAGCACACTAGGGGGGTCGTTTGATATGGTGTAAAGGAAGAAATAATCATGGTATAAGGGAGTTGTTATAGTTATTCAATGTTTGGTATATGTTTTTTATTCATGTATTAATCCTTGTATAAAGTTATATGCCAAATTGGATTACCACTTTCAACATGGAATAACTAATTCATGTATAACTTATACGCGGATAAAACAACAAAAGGACAAAAGTACCCTTACCTTTTTCATAGAAGCTTATGAAAGTAAAATAGCCAAGGATACAATTGTAAACTCATAGCCTTTTACTTTTAAAAAAATATATTTTAAATGATATCTTGTATATCTAATTTTAGTACAATAAAGCAAGCACAAAACAAGAAATAATTCCTACCTACTAATTCATGTATTACTAATTTCTATATTACTAATCCATATATAACTTGATTTCGAACTAAACGACCCCTAGTTATATATGGAAGACATATGGTAATGCCCCAAATCTAATTACTCTCATTGTCTCTAATAAATCCTCCTATGCCCGCTCCTCAATGATGATTCATCTGTATTAAGTTTTTGATGTCCAACGAATAAATTTGGTAAATGTTTTATTAGACCAATAATCAAAGCACTAAATTGGATAGCACTTGTTGTGGCCACTTGGGGAGATAAAAGTTTATGTTATTGTTCTGAAGATACTATTGCTTCTGTCCAATCATAAATGCCATAGAATAAAGGAGAATAGAGTATTCCAATATATTATGGCTTGAATTATTGCTAAAGCAAGCATTTGTTCTTGATCCATTATAGGGATAATTTTTATATGGTCACGGGTGATGACCCAGCTAAAAACAGCCGATGCGTAGAATAGAAACAGCTTCAATTAAGAAGATTATTAATGTCACTGAGTTTCGAGAATAATAGCAAACAACATACTGTATTCTTTTATACTAAGGAAATGTTCATACTGCGGGCATATGCAAGCCTTAACCTAGTAGTAATTGGTTCAACATGGCTTAAAATTGATCAAATGCAGATAAAGGTCGTTTGCTTGATCAGGTCTAAGTGCTTGCTCCAGCAGATCGCTGCTTCTGGAAAATCTCTTTAACTTTGAAGAGGGTTGCATGTATTTCATCAAAATGAGGTGCTGTTGCACTCTTTACATCATCAATCCACTTCAAAACATTCTTGTGCGGACTTAATATCCTGTCACGATCCTTCTCATCAACAACCTGTATATGAAAAGAGAGATTCCATAAGACCTCATCGCCACATACACAGCTCAAGTTATGATATTCAGGAATGGATCCCGCTAAGCCTAGCAACAGGTAGCGTACAGTCAGAACTCTTTATAATGTTATTCTCTAAAACAACACTTCGCTATAACAGCCAAAAAGATCTGGAACAAATGAGGTTGTTATGGAGAAGTCTATTGAAAAATGCATGCTCCAAGATGATTGTATGATGGGATAAAGTAAGGTTATGCAAGTGAATGCGTAATAATTGTACACGTTTAGAATTCTAAGTCGAAAAAAATGCAACATCACAAACAAGAAGCATCTGTATACCTCAAGTTGCATAATCTCACACACTAAGTTAAGATCAGCAATGGAAGGTTGGGAATTTCCAAGCAAAAAGCTTCCATCTTTCTGCAGCCAATAGGTATCAATCTTTGCAAGAGATGCTGAAAGGACCTTCTCACCTTCTGCTGCTGCTTGTGGATTCAAAGGCAACCCAAGTGCAGGTGCCAGTGTAGAATTAAGGACATAGCCAACTGAAAAGGAAAAAAAGATTTCATGGGAAACAGCAAAAGAAATTCATTGCAGTAGACAGGCAAATTATTCCACATGTCATTTGTCTCAACCACAATATGGAAAAGACTGTTAAGACCGATCGAGTTAGCAGAAGAATGTTAAACAAATTATAAATAGCACTTTGTGAATGAAAACAAATTTCTCAACAATTTTGAAGATCATAATTCCCCTTTAGTAAATTGACTAAGGAAAGGAACAAATAGGAAGAAAAAGAGTCTTCAACATAAACCCAAAGCACCTGAACCACGGCGTAAGTTAGAGTGGTGCCAATCCAGGACGGATTCGATTTTTGCTCTTTTCTGCAGGTCACTTGGATACCTTCAATATAAAGCATGAAATATTACTGAGAATTGCAGATTACAAACCTATAGGCTATTGTCAAGTGTTTGCATTAAAAGAAATTTACTGGTAAACGAAAAGGAAGTGGACAGAACTAAACGTACCAATGATCAGCAACTTCTGGAAATGCAGAAGCTAGATATCTTAGAATTGCATGACTGCAAAGAACAGAAAATTTGTGACTCAGCTGTTAAAAAAGACATAACTGAAATTGTTAAATTATTTTCTTTCAGAAAGGAAATATAATTTAAATCCATCTGTTTAATATCAACCATCTACTAAAAAGGGGGTACACACTCACTGACACATAATTCTGCTTGTGCAAGCAAGATCAACAACTATACACTGATCCGACAATTCTTTAAGTTTTTCACTCTGTTGAGTTTAGTAATATTTTCTACCTTTATGTGAAAGCAAGATCAACAACTATACACTGATCCGACAATAAAATAAAAAAATGTTTACACAAAAGTCACTCATTAAATAATTGCAGGTAAATCTCCTAATAAATACTACTATTAATTACTAATATAATACAAATGATAACTTAGTATCATAAGTTAAAATTCACGATCCTTTAAAAAACTATTTTACATTATTTGTTTATTAATTTACATAAGAAAATTACCTCTCGAAAAGCTTAAACGATCCATGAACTATGGCTGGAACTTGCTTCATGGGATTAATTTCTGCATATGAAATTGCAGTAATAATAAAAAATAAAATCCAAAGAGAAGATAAAACATTATGTATAAGTGAGTGAAAAAGAACCTGCAAATTCAGGAGAGCGATGTTGGCCTTTGGAAAGTTCAATAGGGACCTCCTCAAATTCAATTCCATTTGATCTTAAAAACAAAAACCAATAATATATATATATATATATATATAATTAGATTATGATGATTCAGAGAAAAGTAATCAAAGTTTTAGATTCTAATTAAATAAAAGAAGTCAAGGATGATCTGAGAGTAGAATTAGAAAGTTACTTGCAGAAAATAAGAAGAGCACGAGAAGGCTGAGACAAGCGATCTACATAAACTTTGAGCGACATCTGTAAATTGATTCTTTACTGTGAAATTAAATGTGGTGAGGAATGGAGAGAGGCCACGTATTTAAAGCCTTTACGTATTCCCACTGTTGGGGAGATGAGGAATCGTCAATAACACTTGGCACCGTCAATTTCTATGATTTAAGAAATTTTTTATTTTATGGAATTAAATTTGCATTTATAAAATAATAAGTTTTAACTTTTTTACTATTTTATATACTTATGTGGTTATAAAAGCTTGTTATTGAGAATAAAATAGAAAAAACAGACTAAAAACTAGAATTGAAATAGTACTAACTGTAGAATAACAAATTTTAAAAAAAATACATTGTATTACTTATTGCCTAATCGTATATATATATATATATATATATATATATATATATATATATATATATATATATATATATATATATATATACTATTTTTAATTTCCATAGCAAGGTTATGGTGAGTATTACTGTGTGAACGAATATTTGCATTTTGGAGGTCTAGAAGATTTTTTTTTTGTTTTGTTTTGGTTTGTTACGTAATGAATGACGAGAATGTATTCATATCTGGACCAATGGAAGAGTGGGCATTTGGGCCTACCTCTGTATCAGAGGCTACTACAAAGCAGCTGATCGGATTCACATTTTTGTAGTCAAATAAATGCATTTTTTGTAACTAATTTCTAGTGAAGATTCTAGTGAAGAACGTTTAGAAAGAATTAAAGTGTGTTTCCACCAGTACATTGGGCAATAATATGGACAAAATTCAATTGTTCGATGATGTTGAGGTAGAGGACTTTAGAGCTAAGGGTGTGTTTGGTTCATTAAAAATGTTTTCCTGGAAAATAAGTAATTTTATCGCTTATATTTTCATGTTTGATTGGTGAACGAAAAATCTTTTTTGAAAATATTTTTTAGTATTTGGTTAGTGAGCAAAAAATATAATTTAGGTAAACACTATGGGGTGGGAATGGAGGGGGTTGGGGTTGGGGGTAGGAGGGTGGAGGGAGTTGGGGTTAGGGGGTGGGTGGTAGGTGGTAGGTGGTGGGTGGAGGATGGGGCTGGGATTAGTTGGGTGAGGAAGGTTAAAAAAGAGTTTTAGAAAATGTTTTTCTAAAAAAATATTTTTTCTCCTCTTGGTAAGGAAAATATTTTCCTCCAATTGAACGAAAAATATTTCTAAAACATGTAAGGCAACCAAAAAAAAAAAAAACAAAATTAAAAAACACTTTCCTTCATAGCAAACACACCCAAAATCTACATTGAGTTTTCTTTCTAAACGTGCACACTATAGGAAAAGATGGACTTGTTACGAAGATTATATAAGTTTTAAATGAACGTAAAAGGAAAATTAACACGGACTAGTTAATAATGAAAGAAAATAAAAAGAGATAAATCAAAGTTGTTTTTGTGGTTGAGGATTATTTGCCACTTCTATGTACAGTTTTCGATATTTATAGCTACATGGCTAATCATTTTGAACCTTAACTACTTATTTGCTTATCGTGTCCTTAAATCCTTCCTGGAAAATTGTCAGTCTTATAGCCTGTTTGGCCAAGCTTTTCAGGAGGTCAAAAATTTTTTTTTTTTTTTAAAAGCACTTTTTTTTTTCTAACTTGAGGTATTTGGCCAAGCTTTTTTGGGGAAAAAAAGTACTTTTGGAAAGAAGCAAAAGCAGTTGCTAAGAAGTAGAAAAAAGTAGTTTCTTCCCAAAAGCAGAAGCAGAAGCTTTTGACTTTTTTTCTTACCAAAATACCTTTAACAAAATATAGTATATACCAATATACCGTTAAACCTAATACTTAGGCTATTAATATATAAGTATTTCTTCTTATTTTTAGGATAGCTTTCTAATATATCGTGACTCTAGGGGTGAATGCTTTTATATTTGTTGAATGATTTTTAATATATTTAACTTATATTAAAAGAATTAAGTACTTTTTAATTTTATTTTCATATTTTATATAAATAAAATGAAAAGATTTAATTATTGCCTGTAATAACAAAATTTTGAGTTTATTTAAATACTTATAATATTAACTATTAAGTATACTTAAAAGCACTTTTTTAAAAGTTTGGTCAAACATAAATTATTATTCAAAAGTACTTTTTAAAGTGATTAGCCAAACACAAACTGCTTCTCTCCAAAAGTACTTTTTTCAAAAACACTTCTCAAAATTAACTGATTTCTCCAGCTTGACCAAACAGGCTAATAAATTCTGTAAGAGTAGCTACTGGCTCGTTTAACTAATGTTAATCCGCTTTTTATTTATGTGAAGCAATTGTCGTTCGAGTCCCTTTAAGCTGTAGAATCTTTGTTTGATCTAGTTAAATGTGGTAACTCTTCTTCTGGTATTATTAAGGCACCCTCTTATTTGACTCAGATTTGATTAGTTTGTGAACCCTATTTCCACTAAGAAGGACCGTTTATTTTCTGAGACCAACCTAAGTTCCCGCTCGAGTAATAACCATGAAAACGGACGCAAAAAAGGAGAAAAGTGAGGGCATAGAACAGCGAAGTGAAGCAAAGGCACGGATCGCTTCGCGAGATGAAAAAATTTCAAAAGCTGAATCCAAGTCCATGGGCGCGCGACGCGTGAAGGCATACGCGGATTCCATCTTGTCCCATCCGAATTTGGATTGAAAATTTCCGTCCCTTAATTATCAACCCTAAGTGATATAAATACATCAAAGAACGACTTTTTAAGGGTTATACAATAAGGCAAGAACAAGCAAGGAGCAAGGCAGAAGATTCGAAAACAAGTTTTTATCTTTCTTCTTCCTTTTTCTATTATTGGTGATGAATTCTTATATTGTAGTTGTGCAAACAATTATAAATAGCTAAACTCTTTATTCTAGGGTTTAACGTAACCTCTTGGAGGATGAATTATTATTGCGTTTAATATAAGTTTGCCATTGGAAGATTGTGCAAGACATGTAACAGAAAAAAAAAAAAAAAAAAGAAAGATATAACATATACATATATATATATATATATATATATATATATATATATATGTATGTATGTATGTATATATTCTTGTATCTCTTTATGTTGATGAAAGTGTACATACAAAAAGAGGAAAATACAAAAATACTGAACTTATATCTCTTTATGTTGATGAAAGCGTATATACAAAAAGAGAAGAAAATGCAAAAAAAACTGAAGAAAAAAAAAGAGATGCAATAATTAGTATCAAGGAACATTCGCTCCAAGCTAGAAGAAGAAAAGTCACTACAAAAATATCTTTATCCGACCAGCCTGAAGCCTGACATGATAAGTCAAGAAAAAGTCCTAAATAGATTTCAAAAATCAGTGTTGAGTCTATATTAGTGGAGATTAACATGAAGAGCAAGCCTATGGATGGAGAATTGTGATATTCGAGATTTGTGATCATAAAGTTATCAATTCCGAAAAATTCAAGAGGAAAATAATGCAAATTTTGCTTTATTAAAAATGAAATCAGAAGCAAGGTAAAAGATTTGGTGAAACTTATAAGATTAGTCATTTGGCATGATGGAGGAATTTATTTTGAATAAATTTTCTATCCAACAAAGACCAAAAGTTTTGAAGAAAATGTTACCAAAAATATTTTTTAGAAATGTTTTTCTCCTCGAGGACGGGCAAGGACTCAAGTGTGGGGGGAATTTGATGTATATAATTTATTCATATATTTTTATATGTTAAATATTAAAGATTTCAAATAAAATATGAATAACTATATCATGTTCTCCCATATTTTCTAACATACTTTGCGTGAAGAAGAGCATATGATAATTGAAGAAAAGAAGCAAAAAAATAGAAATTGAGTAGCCAATTGGGCATAAAGAAGCAAATGGACTATATCACCGTAGTTGCGATGATGGCAGTTGGAAATCATGAAGCAAATTATATAGTTGCAACTAGATAACTATAGTTGAAACTATGGTTCTTTCTCTGCAGAAGGAAACTCAATTGGCAAGGTTATAGTTGCACCTACAATTTCTATAGTTGCAACTATGGAGAACCTTAGGCACAAAAATCTATAAATAGAGTGTGAATTAAGGATAGAAGACATCGAGTCTGGCTGGGAGAAACTACTCTTTGGTCTCTCTCTCTTTTCTTTTGTATTTTCTACTAGTTGTTTTTCTTTTAGAAGAATAATATTTCTTTATAAATTAGTTTTTCTTACTTCGTAATGGAGTAACTTCTTTTGTTGGGATAGTTGATGAAAAAAAAGCAATATATATATATATATATATATATCCACCCTCGGGAGTCGTGATGGCGCCTACTAGTGAAAGCTAGGCAAGCCGACCATTTGTACTATTTACCTTTTTTCCATTTTAATCTTTTATCAATTAAGAACCAACATTAAATAATCAGCGGAATTTAATGAGCGGAGGACTGAAATGCAATATTTAAACAATGATGCCAATACCGATTCATAACATAAACTACCCAGAACTGGTGTCACAATTTCACAGACTGTCTAAGAATACTACAAATAAGGGTCCAAAATATAAATAGAACGTTGTCTCTGAAATACATAAAAGAAACAGAATGAATGGATAGAAGGAGACGCCAAGGCCTGCGGACGCCTGCAGGACTACCTCGGGTCGCCTAATGAACTGGAAGCAGCAACCTCACTGCGATCCGAACGCTACAGTATCAGGATCTACACAAAAGAGTGCAGAGTGTAGTATCAGCACAACTGACCCCATGTGTTGGTAAGTGCCTAGCCTAACCTCGGCGAAGTAGTGACGAGGCTAGGACCAGACTACCAAATAAACCTGTGCAATTAAATCATATCCAGCGGAAAAATAAAGGCAGAAATTTACAATTTAAAAGTAAGAGGGGGGAGGGGGGAGACATGCTGCGGGTATGTCAAGTAACAACAGAAAACAAATAAACAACCGTAAAGAACACCATAATTCAAATATCAACAATAATCAGGAAATCAAGACAAGTGCACGGCATCACCCTTCGTGCTTTTACTCTCGTCCTCACCAAATATCAATATAATCGGCACGACATCACCCTTCGTGTTTTTACCTCACATAATCATGGCACGGAATGATCCTTCATGCATTATCACTCTTATAAAGGCACGGAA